CACGCTTTGTGCCGTGAGTCCTCCCACATTCCAGGTTGCCACCCGCATCGGCTGGGAATGTTCTCCCCTATCTCGCTGGTGAAACTTGCCGTTCAGTGGCCCCACATCTCATAGGAGTTCCGCTTTGCGGGGCTCCCACGCTGCTTTGACCTCCTGCACCGTTTTCTTCATGGCCTTCGCGATGGCTGCCACGTCAACCCATCCGGCCCCCGCCTTCTCTGCATTGGCTGGCTGTTCCGCTGTGGCGCTCGAGACCTTGATGCCCCCCCAGCCGTCCACCATCCAGACGGTCCCCGTGGCGAACTCCACCTCCATGTCCGACTTGCTTCCCCCAAGCTCCAGCACTGTGCGCTTGACTTTCCCCGCGAGTTTCGCCCTACGGCGGCGCTCTGGGCTCTGTGATAAGGCGATCCACAACTTCCTCATGGCTCCAGCATCGTCGGTCCCCGTGGTCACGTTGGCATTGCGGACTCGCTGCATAGCTTGTTGCACCCTAGTGCGGCGTTCCTCCTCCGATTCGAACGGCTTGGGCTTGATCGGGATAATCGCGTATCCCCTGCGGACCCCCGGAACGAAGGCATCATCGGGGTTGAGTTGCACGTCCAATCGACGGAGTACATCACGAGCGGCCTGCAACGTCTCGTCAGCTGGCTGATCAGGGTGCCATCCCCCCATGATGAGAGCGGGGGGTTTGCCGTTCCCCCCTTCCGTGTCCGCTGTGGTGCTCCCCGGCGCAGAAGAGAACGGTTTGTGCTCCATAGCCTCCAGCCTCTTTTCCAGCTGCTGCTGGGCGGCTTTAAGCTCCCCGAGGGCTTTCGACTGGGCGTCATAGTTATCCGTCACCTTGCTCAGCATGGTCATGGTGTTCTGCATCTGCATCGTGACCCCCGTCTCCACCGCATCCACGCGCCCCCGGATGGCTTTAACATCCCCCTGCACATGCTCCAAGCGCTGGGCGAGGTGGTTGCGGTCGATCTCTCTTTCTTGGGCCAGCACCTCCCTCAGCAGCGCCAGCGTCAACGGCTGTTCCTGGGTGCGCCCCCGTTTCTGCGGAGACCCTCCTTCTCCCGGCGCCTGCTCAGGCTCGGCCTCCACGTGGCCCTGCATGGTCTGATCCTTCTGCTCAGCTCCTCCCCCACCACCGGAAGATGCCATTCTTGATGCTGTCGGGGTAGTATCACGATCGTGCCCGTGTCGGACTTTACGACCCCTCGTTCTTGCGGCGGGTCGTGACGGTGAAATTGTCCCCCTGTAGGCTCGCTATGCCGTACCGGTTGCCGGTGTCAGTGTCCCCCGCACGCCTCCAGCAGCGGTCCCCGAGGTGCTCCGAACTCACCGAACTCACGGTAGACAACCCCCGGCAGGAAGACGCAATGAACTGCGAACGTGCCGGTCTGGTCGATGGCTGCATGGGACGCTCCTCACCTCGCTCTGGGCAGCACTTTCTCTGCACTCGGTTAGGAGGCCCTCTGCTGTCTGGGCTGCGGCCTTGAACCGCTAACGGCTTGAGCCAAAATGGCTATCTCTCTCTCTCTCTCTCTCTCTTTCTTTCTTTCTCTCCTCTCTCTCTCTCTCTCTCTCTCTCTCTTTCTTTTTTCTTTCTGCCGGGCTTAGGGGTCGGCGACCGACCCGCAGGCGTTACGCCCGCCCCCCACACTGTACTAGTGAGTGGACGGCTTTGGGGTAGTCCAGATTAGGCAAAGAAAAACAAAATAGGCCCCGACATGTAATCAGGAAAACCCCCCGAACTCTAAACACAACACAACCCCCGCCTCATCCCCGCGCCCCTACGGCAGTATCCTTAGTTGTGAGCTGGTTCGGGGGGGCCTGAAAAGTGCCGGTCGAATTGTAGCCCCCCCCGCCAAGGCAGGAGGAGGCACTGAATTTTGGCAAAGAGGCGGATCAGACTTCGTCACCGAAGTGACGGCGTTGCATGCGAATTGCACAAGGGCGGAGTAGCTCTGCCATATTGGCAAGGTGGCTAAAAAAGATTCTGCCATGTTCTCTCTCTCTCTCTCTCGCTCTCCCTTTCTGGGTGCAGCCATGCCGCACATCGATCGCAATAAGAGCAATGCTTCGAGCGCAGAGGTCTATAAACCCTGGCGTGTCAGTCTGAGCTTCCCATGGCCAGGTTGTCAACGCGGCCGCCTGCAAGTGCTGCACCACCTCTGCTTCACCTGCACGCCATTCACCACCAGAAACCTCCAGGAGAACACACAAATCGTAGGGAACATGGAGACTCCGCCACGCCAACTTCTCGCCTTGCTGGGCAAGAAGCAGGCGCTGTGTCGCAGGCACGCGGAACCTCAGCCACTCAACACCTTACCATCAAAGGGGTTACAAAGAGTTCGTTTGGGTGCTTGTCATCTCATGTCAAGTACCTCCTTGCCAAGGTCCACACAAGCCCCCTCATCCGGAAAAAACAAGAACCGCTTACACGCTTGGAAATTAGGCCTTATCATATTTCTCGAACCCCATCGACAGAAAGAACTTAGCAGCTCAACGAAGGTCAATGTAGGACATGTCGGCTTCATAATCCCAGGGTTATGCTCTGCCAAGTCCATGCGACAAACAAGGAGGCATTGGCACCATCTTGACTCTTGACCATTGCGGAATATGCAAGATGGAATGTTTCACGAGCTGACTGAAACCTAGTGAGGGATGTGTCTCGACTGCCAACAGATGGAAAACCCGCGTTGAGGCACTGGCAACTCCAGGGTTCCTCGATGCAGAGCTTTGTCGAACAAATTCTCGGAACAATGATTCTAGCAGTCCTGCAGGCAGCCGCACCCAGAGCGAAGACACCTGAAAGCCCGCCGACATCAAAACAATTAAAATGTGTGCTCTACTGGTCGTAAGCCGCGTGGGTCCGGACATGAACTACGCTCTACCAATGGCTACGCTGTTGCACTTTGAGCATGCCTTGGCACAGTGAAACTGTCTTTGTCTTGATGTATCGGGGTGTGCCCGCGGCGGGTGACACACAAGGAAACAACAGAGACTCACAGTGTGCCAGTGCCATTAAAGCTTCTGATGCATGTCGTTGGAACACCTGTCTCGCTAAATATACTACAGTCATTACAGCTTAGTGTCCACTGCAACAATTCCTGACTGCTGCTTTCGTGTAATGTCCTTCGCAACCAGCTTCTCCATCCAACAAAGAAACTTGCGGAAATTCAGGCCTTTCTGCGAGTCATCGCTGTCCAACAACCCTGTGCACACAGAATATCCAACATGAAGTCGAGTTTAGCGGTAGTTTAGCCCAGTTCTCGCACATGCTGCACAAACACCAGGCATCATGATCACCACGTGTTCTCGAAACTTGCTGGGTTCTCTCGACAACTTATGTGTCCGGTAGTTCGTCTACGGGATGCGGGAGGACGAGCAGAGTTGCAGTATGTTGCAGTGTTGTTCGGTATCGTCTACACCTCGTTGTTCTTGCAATGTAAAAACAGAAAGATGTGCAAGTGCTGATGTACCATCCTTAGCGACAACTTCGACAAAGGTGTAACTGCAGCAGAAGCGCACAACGCAGCCCAGATTGTGCAGACTACCTGGCACGGAAAGATCACTAGAACACGCAGAATGCTGCGGACGCAGGCTCATACGCAGGTCAGACAAGAATGAAGCAGGTCGCACCGCCGATGCACCTGCGTCGCTCACTGCCTGGATGTGTCAGTTCATTCATTCTAGTGCACAAGGGTGGATCATGGTGAACCTCGTCACGGGAGCAAGTGGGCAGAACATGGCCCAAAAAATACCTTCAGAACATCTGGAGCAGATTTCATACTTGGATAGTTCTCGAATTTGCCAATGACACAGCAAGGGTCACAAACTAGGGATGACGGTGCAGAGAACCGTCCTGCAGCCAGAAATGAACGCATTGTCCATAGCGCAGGCTTGGGTCCTCTTCAGACTGGCCACATCAGGACCTCGAAGCAGACTGCAAGAAAAATTCACATGATTCCGAATCCGATTCTGCAAGACCACAGAATCGTCTTTGCTCTTGAGTCTTGACAGGTCGGGACAGGGCCTGTTACCTGAATGACCATTGCTTGTGGTTGACCCATTCGCTGTTACATCACGCATGTGCATTCATTTTCATGCGAAGCAAACTGACACGCAACTGAGACTTCGGCAGACAAAGCGTGGCTGGCGAGAGAGTGCCTTCGACGGGTGTCAACCACGGAGCACACAGGCGTAAGTTAAACCTGTCGGTGGGGTTCAGCAAACAGGAACGGCAGTAGCTCGAAAGCCACGTAGAAACGCTGCGAGAAATGCGCATAGCTCGCGGGAGCATGTGCAGAAATCGGCCACCCTGTGCTGCCGCCTCCTGAACGCGCGATGGTTCCCACCAGTCTCTGACTTCGAGATCCGCCTCCAATTTGGCAAAATGACCGGTGTGTGGCTGCTAGCAACGCACTGAAACTCCATTGCAGTTGCCTGTACCAAAGGCAACTTCGCCATGAGCTCATGGATCAAAAGGCGATGCTGCCCAAGAATAACAGAGGTGCCACGTTCATGCAGGTACGCTGAGCCATGCAATTGGTCTTGGTCTGAAAAAACGCATATGCCATGCAATGCTAGGTAAGCTCAGGTCTCGCAAGACAGACGGCATCGATATGGAAGATAAATCGAATACTCCCGTGCTTTCCTGAAGTGTGTCTTCGAGATTCGAGATGTATCAACGAAGTCTGAGAACGTCGTACTCACGCTGTGCACTTGGAAAATATTGGGTGCTGCGGCAGTGATCCTCCACCCGTACGAGCATGCTTCTCTGCATTGCGTCCTACAGTTCTACGATTCTACACGCTCCAAGAGCCAAAAGCGACAATCCGAAAATGGATGCGGGAAGTCTGGTCTCAAGCTTGCCGCCCTAAGCTTTACAAGTCAGGCACCGCGCAGACCTGCAGCCACGGATGGCGGAGGACTTTGTCCAGCTTGCACTGCTTGTTTTAGGATGCGAAACAACTCTGACTCTCACCCTGTCTCCAAAGTTCTCATTTGGAGAACACCTGCTGCAGATCTGCTCAGCTGTGCTTGTCACTGAACTGATCGTTGGTTGCATGCCAACACCGCGCACTCATGAGGCAGCCCCGCCCGAGCCCCCACCCCCCCAGCCCGGCCCCCGGGCAGCACAGTTGCCGTGTCTCACTGTCACATATTTATGAAAGCACGGAAGTCTTGCTTCAATATTTCACAGCACAAACCACTTGGCCCCTGACCTGCCGTAAACCGAATACATCTTCTTGGAAAGGACCTCGAAAAAACACTTGTCTAAATAAGCGCTGATTTCCACAACGCCTCTCAAAATTCAATTGCTGATTCTTTCATCTAAGCTGCCTTGCCTAAGTTTGGCCGTCTTGGCGAGTCGCTCACCTGCTTGTACAGGTGGGCGTATACCCCTCAAGCTTAAGTGGGATTGGACAGTCCCTGCCTGAATCACAAGCCTGGCATCTGCTAAGATCCAGTTACGCAGCGCCTGCCACTTTTCGCTCAGCCGGCATCTACTAGAAGCTCCCACAAAGCCAAAGCGCCTGTCCATCAGAAAGATCAATGGACCATGCCTCGGCACGATCATCAATGTCCTCAAACGGCTCGTCTGCTTCTGTAGACACATGTAGGCACTGCCCTGTGTGTCTTCATGCAGCCATTCTGCAAAAGATTAGGTATCCCGGCCGGGATTTCGACAGCTCGGTCATCCACCTCACTCCCTGCCGTCATGTCGGGAACCTGCAAACAACTGCAAAATCAAGCGAGGTGTGGAGTGCGGATACTACACCCAAACTTTGCGAAAACAGATTCTCCTAACCTCCGAGACAGCTTCGGGTCCCAGTTCCGAAAAGCGCAGGAGACACCCCTGATTGAAGAAAAAACCAATCAGTAGCAGAAAGTAGCGTCCACGCTGCATGCCCTGTCGGGCATCCCTCGAGTCGGGAGTTTTGGGAGTGAGGTTCGGTGGCTATGACCAACGACTCTGAGTAACACCTACATCGCACGTCCACGTTAGTTCTCTTCTCCCTCTGCAAGTCAAAAAACATAACAAGCATGCTTCCAAGCGTGTTAGATTGTCGCAGAATGCTCAACCGCCCCAGAACACACACCGCTGGCGCAGCGTGCTTTGCAGTGTGCAGCATTCACAGTGCCCTTTGCCTGCTTCAGCGCTTGTGACAGTAGTTTCGGGGACGAATCTGATCTTTTGGTTCTGACTCACATGAATCCGGACGAGCCCGACAAGCCTTGGCCAAGCCAAGGATCGTGTTGGAGACCAAAAGTGCTTTGTAGCCAGCGTTGAATGCGTTTGTAGCCTCCGAAAGAACTGTCACGTTATGTTCTCACACCTCCGGCTGAAAGAGCCATGTCACGGCCTTGTGCCGAAAGGTACACAGGCCCCGCTCAACTAAGAGGGCCAAACTCTCAACCTAGCCAAAGCATGTCGCACAGCGAGGCAACTTACAGCTCCAACGACCTGCGGAGTTGCTGCCAACTCACCACAAGCAAGGCTCCTGCTGCCGAAAATGTCCATCACGCATGCGCGACTGATGCACTTTGTGGCGGTCTAACTAACCTCTGGGACCTCGTCTCGTTTGTGGAACCAGGCTCCATCACGACCTCGCTTGATCTGCTGAGCTTCAGTTCGCAAATCTTACTACGACTTGAGAGCCAGATTTTCACGGTTATATCCTACACAAGGAAGTTCGATGTGTATGTTCCCTGTTGATAGTACAAGTATTGCTAGTGCAAAGGCCTCCTTGTGCAGTTGCATTGCACTGGTGACTACTTAACAGCTCCGGATGCTCGCATCTCAAGGCCGCAGCACGTCCGTAGAAGGACGGCTGCACATTGGATGCCTCCCTGAGAGCAATTGAAACCACTGAGATACAAGCGCATTGGCACAGGCACCTATCCAAGGGCGCCCTGTGTGATAACTTTGGCAGCCCGAAGTTGGGGAGAAAGACGTTCCATCCGGCTGGAATCCTGGTCATGTTAGCACCCGTGCACATGATCTCTTGTCTGGCTCATGTTTGCCAGCGAAGTAGGAGCCCTGCGCCACAAAGCTTTGGACCTGCTGCTCCCCGGTGACCTGTCAACTTGGCAGCCGGAGCTGCCCGACTCAAACAGCTTCAATGCTCCCATTCCTTCGGAGGTTGGACAGGTCCTGTGCACATTACCAACAACACATCGTCCAGCGCCCGTTGTCAAGAGGGTTTGGGATTCAGATGGATTCAGGCCAAGTATGGTATCTGCTGCTTGCCGCCTTTGGGCGCTTGACAACTGTGATGCTTGGACTGGTTGTGGGCTTCCGGTTCTGGTTAAGCTTCGATTCTTGGATCTTGGTTTTTCGGGTTTCAGTGGCTCAGGGTGCAACGAGTAATTAATCAACGGCAGTGGGTACTTGAGCGGCAGAGTGAAGGGTTGAAACTGCAGGTTTCAACTCTTTTCAGTTCCCGGGATTTCGTTCTAATGGTTCTGAGCACGGGTGAAAGAACCCCTTCTTTGACAGTATCGCGTCGGCATGCAGCCCTTACAAACAGAGCCAGGACAGGAGGTGAATAGGCAATCGGCAAGCATTACCTAGATTCAATGGGCACTTGACGTGCACCTGCCGCAAATGAAGCTACCGAATCAAGCAATCCCTGAAGCCGCACTCCCATACAGAGTGTTGGTGCCGAACGTTTCCTGAGCCCATTGCATAAAGTGTGGAATGGGCAGCACCGTGGAAGCTGCAGCTCACGATGCTGAGCACCTGATTGGGCGCCAAAGCCCGCAAGAATCGGAAGCTGTAATCGAAAGACTCCGAATAACAGAAGCTTCTGTCTCACATGCATCAACAGATACGGAAGACGAACGGAAACGGACAGAAGAAGGAGGGCAGACGGACGGACACATTGACATGCAGAGACGCGCAGGCATCTCCGGAGCGATGCACCACGAAGCTCAGGCAACACCGGCATGGGATGCACTGGCTGCACAAAGCAGAGAGACGAGCCTGGTGACAAAGATATGTTCGTATCGCTTCTCCCGGCATAGAGAACTTGTGCCGAGCAAAGTCCAGCAAGTCGTGCTGATCGCTTCCCGACCGTCGCGGGCATGTGTCTGTCTAGCAGCTTCCGAGCAGAACAAGCCGCTAACGCCAGTTCCTCGCAAACCACAAACACCAGACGGAAAACGAGAGCGGCATCATGCTCGCTTAGGCCTTAGGCCAACTGAGTGCATGCACTCCCTCCCCCTCCCTCAAAGCAGATATATCATCACAACGACAAGATCGCTACTTGTAGCAAGCTCACTTTCGGTCATCACACTGTGATCACACTCGGTACTGTCACAAACCACGCTTCATAACCGTCGTCTCAAGAAATACATGCCACGGCCTTGGAGATGCGACAATGCATGCTTCATGCCGTGTTTTGCACAGGCAACATGTCACAACTTACTTGGCCCGGCACATGCAAGTATCCCGCGATTTGCCGCATGACATGCTTCTCAGTCAGCTGCACAGCTGACTGATGCGTAGAGGCGCAGAGCAGCAAAGATGGCAAACGAAGTGGCCCATGGTAAATCTGAGGGAGCTCCAGCACCACTTCGCAAGAAGTTCCGCCCGTCTATCAAGTGACACCTGGACAGTTTGCAACCCGATCTCCTAATTGAATAGATTGGCAACGACATCATCTCTTCTTGTCTGTCACTGTTACTGATGTGGAACTTCCATTACGACAGCAGGGGCGACCGGGGCCGTGTCATGGTCAGAGAGAATGGCATGCTTGGACCAACGCTGCACACGGACCTCCCGCACATTTTGCGCACGGTCAGTAGCGACCGCTTGTTCGCAGCTCGGCTTGTGGTAGGTCAGCCTGTCCACGCAAGTCAGACTTCTCATGGAAGCCTTGCATGATTTACACGCACGAGCAGGCCCTACCACAGCTAGGCCCCAGACCACCAACTTGCAACACCTTCGTCGTTCAGAGGCGCATTCCATCCCTGAGAATGCACAATTGACATGCTAGTCTTCCATTGGCTGACTGCTGTGCCCGGGGATCCGATCGCAGCTCCTCGACACGATGCCTGGCACTTACCTGCACTCGCCAGTGCTCATACGGTTTGTCCAACAGGGTGCTCGGATGGGTGCCAGCTCTGCTTCAAGCTGCCCATGCACTCCGTGAGCCTGCCAGGGCTAGTTTGTTTGTCAGAACATTTGTAGACTTCTTCCGAAAATGTCCTCGATCCTGGCCAGCTCGCCCCTGACACCTTCCGTGGTCCAAGCTTGTCAGGGTCTCCATTGAAGTATATATACATATATCTGAGACTCCTGCGCTCAGTTGCTTGCAACCGTTCCACTTCCAGTCTGCTCCTGGTAGCACAGGTTCAAATCAATTCAAAGAAAGCGGCAGATGAATAGTCTGGCTTTGTTTGCTTTGCTGCATTCAACAATATCATCCAACGTCAACAAAAGCCGCCGCCCGGAAGGTAAAACTCATCAACTCGGATGGCCGCGTAAACACCAAAGCGGGTTGCCACGTTGCGCCAAAGTAAGACGAAAGTCACTGCATTGCGCAGGAGCCCCGAGGCCCAAGGCAAGGTGCTCCTGGATTCGGCCGGCTCTGAGCCCAAGCGTGAGCTTCGCGTTCCCGCGAAGATGTCACTTGCATTTTGCTGACCCGCCTTGTGCCCTTCCGACCGATGTGCAGGCTATCACCGGCCGCCGGCTAGACAATGAGCAAGAGGCGGCCTTCATCTCAAGTTATGGGGCACCACAGAGATCCAGCGAGCCTGCGAGTTGCTCATCACCTGCTACTCCCCGAGGACATCGCCAGCTCTCCCACAAGTAGCATTCATGATTCAATCAAAGTCGTGCGATTTCCCTGACTTCATGCACTATGCTCTTTGTCCACCTTTGTCTCGGGCTAGCTTTGGCCAATCATTGGGCAAGTTCATCAACCGCCGCACACTCGTAGCTTCGGGCTGCACTGCTGAACCCATCCTGTGCCTCTGCATGTCTTGAGTACCTTTGCCTTTTTGGTGAATGTCTCGTCCCAGTTTGTTGGCACAGATGCTTCCAAACTGAACGCGGGTTCCGCACAGGCCACGTTTCTTTGCAGGCGCTCGATCGTGGGGCCTCTACGCCCTAGGACTAGGAGCCACACGAGTGCCCGAATACGGTTCTGTTGCATGTTGATAGAGTTTGCCAGCATGGCAATGACCTTGAGTAAAATATTAGCAGCGGGCTGGTGGAGCCCACTGATGTAAGATCAACACATGTCAAGGTCGCTTCCGGGCTACCGCGTGGAAGAATCTTTGAGTCTGAGCAGGAGGGCTGGGGTCGCAAACCCGAAAATTCGAACGTGTATCTGGTAAAGTACTGGGGCACCGTAGGGAGCCTGAAGGAATACTAGCACACATTCGGGGCTTAAACCATCTCCTTTTTATAAAGTCTTTCTTTCGTGACCTTGGAACCGAATGCCGAGCAACGAAACCCCGCTCTGAGAGCGGAACGTTTCCTTTGGTGTGCGTTCGCGGGTCAGGCTCACTTCCTGCTCCCCCTCAGGGCCAAACGGGCCAAACGCCCACAGAAAACACTGGCTGCACACTATATTTTGCGATGTCGTTGGCGGCCTAGGGACTCACTTACTCACATGCTCACCCCCTGCCGGGGTTAGGACTCGAACACACAGCAAAAAAGACACGGGCGGCGAGCGTTCGTGGACACCGGGACTCCTTCACTCACTGACTTCCGCCGCCTGCTGGGGGAGGACCCGCCAAAGAAAACACACAGGCGGTGTGCTAATTTGTGGCTTTGCGCTGCAGGCCTCGGGACTTGCTCATTCAATTCTTTGGCCGCCCGCAAGAACCCCACCCCGCAGCACACAATGCACGGGCAGAGGCTGACCACGTAATTACGCAATCCCCGCGGGCGCATGCACGGCTGCCACTGCACCCGTTCTATGCCACATGCCATTCGTGAGTTGCTCTGGTTCCAGTTGCTTGGCTCCCCCTTGCTCGTAGCAGGCACTCTTGGTCTCCTTGCTGGTAAAACTTGGCAACACGGAACTTTGTTGTTGCAACGCTTGAGCAGCCTTGTCGGGAGGGCAGGGGGAAGAAGCCAGGCGCCGGGCTGCACGCTATGGAGTTTCTTGATCTCTTCACTGACATCCTGAAACGTGAGGAGAGAAAGGACCTGCCTTACACGGAAAAGCGCAGGCCTCCAGCAGTTCTCGGAGGTGCTTGGCTTCACGTTCCAGCTCCTGCTTTTGGACCTGGACGCCGGACGCCCCAGGCAGAGCGAACGAGCGAAGTTTGGGCTTTGAGTGCCTTCTGCGCGGCATGTTTCTTTGCCACTCTTTCACTCGCCTCGTTCAAGAGCCATGCTGGAAAGCACACGGTGGCTGGGCAGAAGAAACACTTCCCACATCTTCCCACTACCCGGGCTTGCATCGGAATTTACGTTCAGGCCGTCGACGCTGCATGCAACATAGTCAAGCATCAAGCTACAGGGTTGCTGATGCTTCTGCCTCCCGGGCATCTGCAAAGATGGCCTGCCAAGCTGCGACCTGCAAAAGCCGACTCGAGACGAAAAGATGAGGGCAAGAACGGCCACATGGTCAAGGAAGTCTTTCTTGGAGCCTCCCCTTCAGAGCGAACTTTGGAGGCACCCATGGAAGCGTGGACTTCCTCAAAGGCTTTCAACTTCGTCGTGCAGAACTGTTCCCGGTTGCAGATTGCCGAGCCTGCAGCTGCTGTTGTATGTGCTTCATGCTTTGGTAGGGTATTCGGATTTCCGCCTTGATCCCAAGACTTCCACGCCACGGCTAGCTAAAGAGTTGTGAAAGTACCCCATCGCGGCTGCCACTGTGCATTGCAGAACGCTACAGGCGATGCTAGTCAGGTGGGAGCAGTGGATGGTGATGCGCTGCCCTGTTGAACTCGGAGCCCGCATGTCGTGCTTGCGAGATGGAGCAGCGGGGTAAAGACGACATCCAACACCTGCTATCTGCATAAATGATGAGAGGCGGCTACTGCATCACAGGTCTTGAATAATCAATTTTCCGAACGGAACGACCAGGCACGGCAGATGCTCGGTACACAGGTCTAGCCAAACAAATATTTCTCCCGACACCAAGCATTTCGCCCGGTACAGGACGGAGAGTGTCTCAGACTATCCAGAAATGCCTGGATGGTCCAAGTCCTTTCAAGAGCAGCGGAAGCTCTGTTGTCACGTCGTCCGAGACCGAGAATGGGGGCTCAGGTTGGCAAGCGCTGAACAATATCTCAAAGCGCATCAATCAGGCAGGAAAGCACCAATTACACGTGCAGCTCCTTCGGCACACCTTCAAGGGGATCTAAGTCCAACTTCTTGGCCAAATTTATCCTGGCTTGCAGGCAGAGGCTACACCACTTGCTTGAAGTACGGCACGGGACTGCCGCCTCGCAGGCTTCCCTGTCGGACCTTTAGGAATGGTCGGCATCGTCACCTTGATAGCTGGTAGCTCGCTGCCATACAGGGCTTGCGAGCTTTTTAAGGTCGGAGCCAACATTTCAGGAATCCATTTCGCTTGTAGCTTATCACCTGGCACACGTATGACTCATGAAAAAATTAGGTGTCGCGATGTTGGACGACTTGCACTGGGGACGCGGCATTTGTTGCACCAGCTTCTGAGCTCTTTGATGGTCAACCTCTCTTCTGAAAGCAACAGGCATAGCCCTGCACGGCAAGTCTACTGGCACGAGAACAGTAAAAAGCCCGTGGCGACTTGCCATCCTTCAAAACCGCAGCGATGCCTCCGGCCAAGAACCGATGGACACACTTAATGGACAATTGCGCGGAAGCCCCTTGGCGAAAGACGGATGCGCCTACAACTTCCCCCAGGGACTTGTGCGGAACAGCGAAGGCGATGCAGTCTTTAAACCTGGAGGATTGTTACGATTCCTCAGCAGATTTTGTTAAGCGGAAAGGTTGTCGGCACAATCATCACAAAAGAAACTTGTAGTAGTGATTGACTTTGGCACGGCGAGGGCTCCGAGAAAAATCTGGAAAGTGGGGATGGCAGAACAGAAGCACCGATCCGGATGCTGTAGAAGTCTAATCCCCGATCACCGCCGCCACGGCCCAGCCAACACTACTGTCATCGCTGCCGGCACCGTTCCTGCTACGCCAGCACCACTATCACAACCACAACAACGACAACACTCGTGATAACGACACAGTCAAAAAATTGTGTTTGGTCTCAATCGCGTGCCACGAAGTTCAAGATTGCTTGTCTGTGCGACTGGACAACTCTGGTGCCCGGCGCGTCGTTGGCGCGCATTGCATCTTCCACCTTGCATCTGCGAGCACCAAGCACCGAAAGCACCGATGCAGCGGCGACAAGACTTGCACAGGCCACCCACCTCGAAAGGCGAAATCTTCTCCCCAGCTCTGTTGATGATCTCCTAGCAATCTCTAGTTGCCAAGTACCCACTGCCTCCTCCGCTCTGCGTTCATCAGGTAAAAACATTGCAACACTCCTTGAAGCGTCCACTCAAATACAGGTAGCCGTCAGCATCAAGCCAACCCTTGTCGCCTGTCCTCCGTTCCAAGGGATCTTGCGTGAAGCACGAAAGAAAAACAAACACTCTAAAGCTGCAGGCTGTAACTCCTTAGCCATCCGTCACTGAAGGCTTCAATGTTGGGATTCGCATCCATATGCTCCCTGAACTCATATCCTGAGAAGAGCAACTGCAAGCGGCTGCAGTGCCGAGCGCAACATGATCAGCAGCTGGCCGCTTGTGACAGGACCGCCTTTCACAACGACCTGCAGACTTGATAAAAGAAAAATGCTTTCTGATGTGCCCACTTGAACATAAACTCATCGCCGCCTCTCCCTCTTCACCGACATTGAGGAA